TGTGTGTGTGTGTGTGTGATGTGTGTGTGTGTGTGTGTGTGTGTGTGTGTGTGTGTGTGTATATGAGACATTCCACGGTGAGGTGGATGCCAAGGAGCGAGCACAGCCGAAGACAGACTGTCCTGAGCTACTGTGTTTTAGTGGAACTAACGAGCCCCTCGCTGTGCACCTTGGCCTCGCAGCTGTAAACTTGTTAGCGATTAGGTAATCAGATCTGACTGGATGTTTTGTCAAAAAATGTTCGGGTCACGATTCTGCTTTTAAGCAACATCATGGCCCTGTTGGTTTGGAGACACGTGCCTGTAACTGAAAGGTCACGGGTTTGATCCTCGCAATAGAACCATGTGCTTCCATCAGGATCTCAACAAAGAAACACCGCCTGCTCACACAAACATGACAGCCACTGGTGAACGCGTTTTGTTTTTGTCCGTGCCCTTAGATAACTAGCCAAAAGTTGACAACGTCGCATCACGTTAAGATATTGAGTTTGACAGCCAAACTCTTCAGCAAAAAAAGCTTTTAAAAAAGTCAAATGTTGGTGTCACTCACACAGGATCAACGTGCAAATTTCATTTTCAGACTCACGATTCTGCACTGAAAATACAGTGGGTTCAGCAGGCTGGTATGCAACACAGCGAGAGGACGTGTTGTTGTTTTGTGGCACGGTGATGTTGTTGTGGCCATCAGTAACAGTTTCTCCACCAACACATGGAATCAACAAGCTCACACCTGCTCCCCGTGGGCTGTCAAATGTCATTCTGGAGAGATGGAGGTACTAACAATGTCAATACCAAAATAACCTGTAATGCACAGGCATCAAGCACTGATGATATCTAATAGTGTAGGAGTATTGAAGGATGATTTTCCTGTTTCTTTCCGATTGGTTTTCAATTATTGGTGGTCAAACTTTAAACGAAGGAGGAGCAGAACTGTCTTAACCTTCATATGACGCCATTACCGATGTCCCCTACTGAAATATGACCCAACAAAACTATCTCTACACTGTAATGCATTCACGTTTAAAACAAGAACTGCTTTCATGCTGGATTATGAATATAATCAATTCATCATCATCATCATCATCATCATCATCATCTAAACACCAGTCTTGTGTTTCCCTCTACTAATCCCTATATATAGCCTTTATTTAATCAGGTATTCTCATTCAGATCAAGATCTCGTTGGCAAAATAGATGCAAGTGCAGCGGAGGAAATACAAATAGAACAGAGATAAGACAGACAACAAAGCAGAGCCAGTCACACACCAGCAAACAGCATCAGATACAATCGGAAAAATCCCATAAAAAAAAAGGTCCCACGAAAAAAAAAGTTTAAATTCATCCAAAGGGACGAGACTAATGGTCTCAGCCTAAAAATGCTGATCTGGTTAAACTGCATTAATACTTGATGTAAGGGGTAATCGACAGTCCTGCTGTAGAAGGATTTCACTCACTGATAGCACCACTGCAACACCAGATGGCTGTATTGCATATTACTGAAGAGATTACTGGGCCTTTCTTCAACATGCTTCATCCTGTCTTCACTATCAACAATCACTACCGGCCTCGGAAAAAGACAAACAGCCTGGACTGACCGATCCCATTTCTTGTGGTCTCAACAAGTTTCAAATCGTTTCAGAGGTGTACATCAGCTCCAGCGTAGCTTACAGTAGCTATGTCCTGTTACCGCTATTAAACCAGCTTTACACTCTAGACCTCAAATTTTACCTTCTGTGTCCAAGCAGCCGTGAAGGTCTGTGTTCATGATTTGTCCACGTCTGAGAGAGACTGCGTGGATCTCTGTCCGTGTGCGACCCCTTTATTGCAAGTGTGAACAAATCTACGCAGACAAAACTGTCGCCTATTAATTTTCTTCTGATGAACTAATAGATTAACCTACTAATTGTTGCAGCTCTGGTTTTGTTGTCGATCCACTGAGGAGTTAATAGATATGAAACAATGATGTGGACTCCAAAACTGAGAGTATGTGGTTTCTGTGCGTGCGTGTGTGTTACTGTACACAATGGTCAGGGAGCAAACAAACAACCTCTCAATACGTCACGGAACTATAATTATTGGCTTTCACAATGTGCCTGTAAGTTGGACGCCGTCTGTTTGCTTCTGAACCATTATATCATCTGTCTTGACCTGTCTTTACGACAACATACAGCATTTGTTTGGACTATTCATCCATAGTTTATACAGTTTATAAATCGTGAAGAGATTTTACCTAACCCCTAACTATCCCAGTGTTAGTGCAACATGATACCTGGCTGGTGACAGAAAGCAGAAAGGCTGGCTCAGTGTTTAGTTAAGAAACCCCACTATTATTCTTCTCATTTTCTGACCTGGAGAGAGTTTACATGTATGTACTAATTGCACACACAAAGTAACAAATTCTTATAATCAAGCTGGAAGTGGTGACAGTGGGAAAATCATATAGTGGGTCCCCCTTTACCTGCACCTACTGCTTTTCATGAGAATACTGTCAAAGAAATGGTGGGAAAAGTTAGAACGTGCTCCCAGTGTCTTCTTCTCCGTTCTCACTAATAGTTAGCCTATAAACACAAACACACACTTTCCATAATTATAGGCTTGCTCCTGCCCCGACGTGGGTGTGTCTGAGAACCATTAGACCAGAGCACGGTGCTGAGGTGCTCATGACAATACAAAACGCTGAAAAATATTACACTTAAACAGCTTGAACCATGGATTTGCATGTTTAGTATTTCCAATTTACAGCCATAATCTGCCATAACTAGTTCAACAATTTCTTACCGCTTTATCAATCACCATCTTGCTGCATCTGTCACTTAGAAACACTGCGTGTTCTGTACATATTTCATCTATTTAAAAAGTAAGTTGCAGGCATTCCTCAAAACTGACGGTTACTATATTGACACTGCAAACCAACTAGCCCTACAGCACACACATTTCACAGCCAAAGAGTCATTTGTGTCATTTACCCTCTTGTTGTCAAGTTTTCGTATCCAGCTAAACCATGACATGAGCATATTTGCAACTGTACTCATCCTATAGATGAAACTGTATTGAAACACACCCTCTCCACACAGCATAGGTCCAACAACAGTCTGGAACAAACCCCTACAGATTAAGGCCCTCTGGGTATTTGTGTATGCATGCGTGCATGTGTGTATGTGACGTGTGTAGTCACATCAACAGCATACTTGGCTTTCCTAGAATGCCTGCTTCTGTAGTGACTACATACAGCCATCTAGCTGCAGCTCTTCTGAGAAAAAAAATGGAAGAGGGAGGCAGATTTTTCTCTCATTTCCTTTCATCTGCTTTAAAATCCAATGCCTAAACAATACCAAGAACTTACAATGTAGCATAAAAAGGGGGTACCAACACCCAGATCTCATGTGATTTAGCTATTGAATGCTGTGTTTGCATACAATGTGTCACCATCAGTGACTGAGAGAGGAGCAGAGAGGGACAGAGCAGAGGGATGCCACTGTGTCTTTAAGCAGTAATCCCTCCGTTCTAGGAGCATTTGTTGCCGGCCATGGGCCATGGGCGGTTCGGTTTAATGTCCACAAGGGCCGCTGGGAGGTCCCGCACTATTAAAATCACTGCTGCTCGCTCAAGCTGTAGCCGGTCAGGCTTGTGCGGCTCTTAAATGATGACTGAGGCTGCCTCCGAAATTAAAGACGTTCTGATTTTGCATTTCAAAAGGGGAGGAACTTGGCTCATCGCAGCAACAAAAGGGGTAACAATGCTGACATTCCCGACATGTATCTTTTCTAAAGGAAACCAGAGCTTGCCCACAGGAGATATTGTGTGAACGGGGGACACTGCACAGTTTGCCGGTGTCTGTCTCCATCTCTTTCATGCAAACAGCAACAACAGCCAAGCATCGGGACATTTTCTTTGCAAATGACAAAATCTGATCATTTAAAAGATCTCATCTGCAGAGCTGCTCATCGGTGAAAGAAAAAAAAAAAAGACTACAAACCAAGATCCTCATAGGACAGCCATAAGATATTCAACAATCCTCCATATGTTACCACTGCCCCCTACCAACAGGAAATCACTGTAGCATTCCTAAAAAAAAATCTACTGTGACTTTATATTGACTTGAATTTCCTAAAGCAGTAATAGAGTCTTCTTGTAAGTGTTATCATGTGACAACTGCATTATTTTGTGTGAAGGTCTGTGGTTTACTATGAAGCTTCAAAAGTTACTTACAAAACCAAAAACTACTGTGGCAGCCATTTAAAGTTACTGTCCAGGCTGATGGCAGGTTACTTTCAGTGAGGAGATGGTAAAGGTGATAAGGTGCGTAACTGTGAGAGTATGTTACATAGGCTACAGAGCAGGCTGGAGCACAAACTGCTGCTGCTGCTGCTGCTGCTGCTGAGACCGAGAAAGCTATGTTGCAACGTTAATGCTTGTCTGTCTTGCAGAACGATTTGAACCCAAAAACAAAGAACAAGAAAGAAGAAGTTGTTTTCATGTTAAAAAAAAAAAAAAGAAAAAAAAGCTGCCATCCCCCAGAAGTTGGTTAGAAGTTTGTGAGCTAGAAATCATAACTTGACAATTAGCAGTGCCTTCCAAACTTTCAGCCTTCCTTTGAGCACAAAGCTGCACTGATCTTGCAAGAGATCAAATATCAGTTGTCAGGCTTGTCATTTCCAAATCTTGCTGCATTCAAGCCCTAACAGCCTGTTTTCTCCAACAAGGGGCTGGATTTCTTTGTAAACAAAAGCAGCAGTTGGCCCTCTGGTTTGAAAAAGTGAAGTGTGTGTTTCCAGAGCAATTGCCAGCGCTCAATGAAAGTGTTTTCAACAAGTTTTCTCAGTAGTGAACAAGTAGTAGGCTAGTAGTAGTGCAGCTTGCAGCATGATGGGGGTCCAAGAATTTGGGGGACATTGATGGAGGGGAAATGAAAGAGAGGGAGGGTGTACTGAAGTGTGTGCTGTGTGCGTGTGAGCGGGTGTTTTGGGGAAGTCTTGGCCGTGATTGAGTGCTCGTTCTTACCGCTATTAGCGTGTTATTCCTCTGTTCCGTGGAGGAGGCAGAGTCCGGGTCCGGCTGCTTGCTCTGCGGCTGCTTGCTGCTGCCGCTGCCGCCGGCGGACTTCTTGGCCCTCTGCTCCAGGCTCCGCTGGTACAGGCTGACCGTCTCCCTCCGCTCTATCTCCAGCTGCTCGGCGTGGGCTTGCTGGTACCTGTTCTCGCAGTTTACGTGGTGTCTCCGGCAGCCCTCTATCCGCTGCCTCAGCCTCTCCACCACGGTGCTGTGCTTAGGTATGCCCACCGATCCGGCGGGCACCACGCTCCCGGCGGCCGGGTTCATGCTGTTGTTGATGCAGATACTGCCGTTGGGTCCGGCAGCGGGGGAGGCGAAGTCCCCCATCACTGGGCCGAGTGGCTGCTATTTTGGAAGAACTTTTCTCCCCGTCAAGCTCGCCGCCACCGCCGCCACCTCCTCCTCCTCCGACCACCTCTTCCTCCACCTCCACCACCTAGTGTCCTCTCCCTCTCTGTCCTCCCCGGTGAAGGGTCCCAAGCAACCGGGCAGCGGAAGGAAGAAACGACCGACAACAGCCGCCGAAGCGAGCAACAACCGGGAAGGTTTAAAGGGCTGCGAGCCTAGTAGTCATATGGTTCAGGGATCGCGAATGACCGTTTCTTCTTCCCTCCTCGGTACTGTTTCCAAACAAACCGCTCCCGAGAACACAAATAACACCCAGCGTGAGTGAGACCCGGGCAAGCCCCAAACTGAATTCAACAATAAAACCGCTGCCACGCTGCTAACAACAACTCAGCTGGAAAAAAACAACAAAACGGTGAAGGTATGAACGTTAGCAGGCACTCAGTGGTCATATACACACAAACCGTCCCGCGGAGGAGCAGCAGCGGCAGCAACAGTAACAGTCCAGTCGCCGTTTTACGGCGTTGTCCTTTGAGAAAAAGTTTTGCTGCCTGAACCGAACGGGCTCCGGAGTTTCCCAGTGAACTTGCATCTCATATGGTTTTGGTTTGAAAGAAATCCCGGTGAAGATGTTGTTGAGTTGGGGGGAAGCGCACAAGCGCCCTCGGTAGTCCGGCTGTGAGGCAACTAGAGTAGCCTAGACGGTGCAAAACGCGGATATGGGAAGCAGTGGCGGAAGTCTGTAGTCACTGGCTGCCGCCTGCCACCATCACAATAATCATGTCCGCTTCTCCACCATGCCAGCGGAGTGATATCAGGACAGGAGTTGAGTAAAAACCAGCTAGAGGCTGTGAGGAGCCCGCTGATGGACACCCGGAAAACACGGAGTGGAGTACGGAGTGAATTCCGGAGAGGACCGGCTGGTCCCACCTATGACCTCTCCTGTGATGCATTCACGGATTACACCACTTTTTACACAAAGTGTTCTACGCAGGCTAAAAAAAATTCTGGCTTTGCCATTGATTTAAATGACAGCATGAGTTAGGTCCGCTACCAGGTGCTCATAAGCCTACCCCATTACCACGTTTCTCACAGGCATCACGCTGCAGCATCAGTATTAAAGGGCACACATTTTCTTTTTTTTAATTCTTATTTTATTCATTTATTTATTTATATTTTTAACATTTTTGAAATTTAATTTAACATGAACTGTCATATACAAAGATAGGCTACATGGCCTGCATGGGCTCCCATACACAATTCAGACAAGAAAGAAAAAATAGAACAAAAAATAATAACAGAAATATGCACAACCCCAATAATAGAATAGAATAGAAAATTATTAATTATACAAATTAAACAGTGGGTAGCATGTTACATCACCACCACAGAGGTCAGACCAGAACATTTTACAGAACAACATTACAGAACCACATGATAAAATTTGTTCTGAACAATAGAATATATACTACATGAACTGATTATAGAGTAAACTTTTCATTAGCTGAGTGACAGACATGACGTGACGTGCACTACTGCTATTACAAATGACCATATAAGGTCAAATTTATTGAGATCATTTCTCTAAATTTAGATAATATACTCAGATTTGTGAAACAACTGTCACAAAAAGTTACAGGGAAGGATGACAAGATCGTTAATGTGTGAAATGAAATACTTCTCTGTGGTTGATGAATCATTGCTTAAATGATTTAGACAGGAAATGATAATAATGACATATCAAATTTATTAAGAGATATATGATAGCCTTCCTATGATGTAAATTTTTAGTTGGCCTGCTCATGATGCACTGTGTAGAGGGGTAATACATCATCTCCTGAGTGTACAGCATATACAAAGTACTGAATAATATACAGTATGTACAGTAGCAAGAAACCCTTGTGTGGTTTTCTGCACGGATTGGTCAAAAGTGTGATCTGATCTTCATCTACATCAGAAATGTGAGCAAACATGATGTGTTAAGCTAATAGCACATAAACAATTATATTGTTATCTTTATTGAACACATCCATTAAACATTCACAGTGCTGGTGGAAAGAGTAAGTGAACCTATGGTCAAACCTCCTTTGGCACTTATAAGCTCAAACCAGCTCTTTCAGTAGCTGCTGATCAGACCTGCACAATATTGGATCATTCTTCCTACAGAGCTGCTTCAGTTCAGACATATTCTCAGGATGTCTGGTGTGAACAGCTCTCCGGGTCATTCCACAGCATCTCTGTAGGGTTATGGTCTCGGCTCTGACTGGTTCTTTGTTTGAAGTTGTTTTGTAGTAGATTTACTTCGATGTTTAGGGCCATTGTCCTGCTGCATCACACAGATTCTACTGAGTTTCAGCAGGTGGACAGACACCCTGACATTATCCTGTAAGACTCCATGATAAACTTGCCCAGAGGCAGCAAAGCAGTCCCAAATCATGATGCTCCCTCTACCATACCTCACTGCTGGGATAGTGATTTCATGTGGGTATGAAGTGTCCTTGTTACCATATGTAGTGGCGAGTGTTCTTCCCAAACAATTCAACCTTGGTTCCTTCAGTCCACCAAACTAGACTCATGAACAGAGATGCTCACCAGCTCCAATGACTCTTTAAAGCCTTTAGTTTTTATAATCTGGGATTCTTTTGGGGTCATCTTAGCAAGCGCACACCACTAGGAGAGAGAGAGAGTAGGGTTAGGACCACAGTACACACGCACTCCTTGGAGTCTTGGTTCTTGGTTCACATCAACAGATGCTTCTCGTGAATAATAAATTCAAAATGTCTAAATGGTTTTTATGAGTCAAAGTCTCTCTAAACTAGACCTTAGTTCATGTTGTTTCATTGATTGGACTTCAGGTTTGATAACCCCATTTAGCTTTTGTTGATGTCATTTTGGGCCTAAACATTAGAGAAGTGAGCTTGTGACCAGAAGGTTGCTAGTTCAATCCCTGGACGGGCAGAATTTAATCTGGGTGGGAAAAGTGAAAAAATGCGCATGTTTCTTTCATCTTCACCACTGTGGTGCTCTTGAGCAAGGCCCTTAACCCCAGTCGCTTATAACGCGGCGCTCTCAGGTGTGAGTGTGTTTAACTGTGTGAATGTGATCAAGGTGTTCCCGCCTACCGTGAATAAATAAAGGTTCAAATGAAATGAGCGTAGGGGTTCACATACTTTTTCCAACCTAAATGATGATGATGTAATCAATATAGAACAATACAATACAATGATTTGTGTGTCAGCTGTTGAAATAGATTGTGTTTGTTCATAAAGATCTGACCATATTTTAACATAATATTATACATGAATGCACACCACTCCAAAGGGTTCCCTCACTCTACTGTCTTAGTATCCAAGTTCTTAACACTTGAGCAGTTGAGGGCTACAGCTTCCCTACAGCTCAAAGCTCCTGTGCTTCAACAATCCATCCCTTAAGTTTCACATTTTATTAATCAGAGGAAAACTACACAGACTATAACTTTTATCTTGAGACATCATCTTTGAAAATTAAAATAAGAAGGAAAAATCTGCAAATAGTAATGAGCAAGCTCCAGTGGTACAACATGTGAAACTTTTGCTACGTATAGCCTAAAATATAATGGTGAACTGGTCTCAGGGAAAAAAAGAAGCAGAGGTTCAGAGGAAAATCTGTTTCTGAAAAGAAAATGTATAAGTTTTATTTTGAAACAATTCATCGACAGAATGTATGGAGACATTTTACATTTTAGGGCATTCAGGCGATTTTTCTTTGTCATGACTGACAGAAGATTCAGGAGTAGAATAAGTTTCATTTACAGACCCCAATAAGAAGAAGTACAGAACCATTGTACTTTAATAATAGCTGTTAAAAATACTCTTGTCACAGAAAGGTGCGAGAGAGAAAAGGAAATAAGAGATGAGAAGATTTATTTGTATTCTTTCAAATGAAAACACTTGCAAGCTTATGTTTTTTTATGATAACCATGACATTCACATCTTCTCATCAACAGCTAATATTTTAATAATATTTCCACATGAAATATAACCTCAGTGCAATCAGCATGGCTGGTGATTACGAATCACTGGTGCTTTTACATTGCATGGTGATAACAAACTGTCCCATTCACACACAATCACAGGTGTGCATGCACCTTCACAAGACAGAAACTGTGAATCATATCCTCACAAATGCAAGAGGTTTATGTCAATGTTGTGTCAAAGCAAAGGCCAACTTTCTCTCTTGCTCCTTCTTTCCTTGTGTGTGTGTCTCTCTCCCATTTTTATTTTTATCTGCCATGTCATGTGGGAGTTCTGACTTCCATCCCTGACTGTTCAGGCCATATGTGCTCCCTTGTCTCTTAGCCATCCCACCAACACACACATACACATGTACTCGCACATACAGTCATTCACCCCCCACACATACTATACACCAACACAGGCACGGACCTGTGCACTCACTCACTCACACACACACATACACACACACACACACACACATACACACACACACACACACATACACACACACACACACGCACACACATACACACGCACACACATACACGCACACTCACACAATCTGTGTGGCAATTAAAACATGGCCAGCATGTGTCTGTGCTTACACTCCATTGGGTGTTATTCATTCTTGTTTCCTGCTTCAGTGTTAAAAGGTTTTTAAGGAGGTGATTCTTGCATGAGCACCAGCGAAGAAGATTACTTTGCTCACTTTTTCTTCCTTCTGTTTTAGAACAACTACAGGCAATTTGTTACATTTGGTGGTTTGGATGATCTACAAATGTTCAGTCTGCATTCAATAACATTTCATATCGCTCCTGTAGTGTTTCCAAGCCAGACACTCATTACGTCAAAAGTCTCCAGTGAGGAATTTCCCACTTTAATAGGAAAACAGGAAAGAGGCAAAAATGGGAGAAAAGTCTAACAAATAAACATAATCTTATTAATCAGAAAACAGTAGTTACCAGCCCTGATGGCTTAGCAAAATGTGGTCAT